GAACATCCCTTGGATGAGTACCTTTTGTTTCCTAAGAATGGAAGCCTTTTCTCCGCCTCTCCTTCACACAAATGTGTGTAGAGTCAAATTTGCAAAAGGACACAAAATGTCTTCTTTTAGGGTGACTTTGCAGCTTTGGGCCTCCTCCCTGACTCCAGGGAGGAGGTGGTCCACGGTTGTCCGGTGCTGGAGTAGAAGGTGTTGCTGACACAGTCTGGCTGGGAAGGAGGACAAGTTATGGCCATCAGAAGAGCCTGCATCTCCTCTGCCTGTGCACCTGTTAGGAATAAGCCTCTGCAAGTGGTATTTAACTCTCTAAGTGCTGGTATTGGATTTGATCTTTAATAGCTGTTTTAGAGTGGCATGTGATAACCTATAATCTCAGCTACCGGTGAGAGCTCATTGGGAAGATTATAACTTCAAGCCCTGGCTAGGCTACAAAGTGATTTCAATGCCAGACTTTGGCCACTTATTGAGACCTGTGTAAAACAAAAGAGTCAAATGAGGGCTGGGGATAGCCCAGTGGTAGAAGGCTTGTCCAGCACTGTTAAAAAGGAGAAGGAAAAACTATTTAGAGAACTCTTTGTTGTTTGTTTGTTTGTTTGTTTGTTTGTTTTTAAATACTGAGTTCAGTGCCTGACTGGCATTGAATGGGGTATGTTGCCAAGAATATTCTAAGCTTCTGACCCCCTGCCTTCAGCTCTTGGTTGCTAGGATCACAAGTGTGTGCTGCCATGTCCAGTTTATGTAATGCTAACAGAAACCAAGGGCTTTGGGAATGTTATATCCCTAGTCCCCCAGCTGTTGTTCATAAGCCACTTCAGTCCTAAGCCCCTGAAGTACCTGCTGCAGAAGGAGAAACAGTGGGAGCAAACCACTCTTGAGAAGCCACCTGCATGTTCATAAAAACGTTAAAAGCCAGTTGTCCCAGGACAGAGAGGAGAGAGACAACTAAAGCAAGGGCAAATGTCCCCTCAGTCTTGTGGCCTTCCAAGAGCTTCTTTATTTGCTTTTGTTTTTGAGACAGAGTATCACTATGTAACCCAGGCTATTCTTCAACTCAGCATCTTCTTACTTTAGCCTCCCAAGTGCAAGGATTACAAGCCATGGCACACCTCTCCTTCCCAGAACCTTAAAGCAGAAGAGTAGGTTATGACTGGAAGGATGTAGCCACTTCTCCGTGCCTGGAAGCATCTCTCAGAATTGACGGATATGCTTAGTGGCGTGAGACCTGGGGTTCAAAATAGATATTTTCAGCACCGAAAATAGAAAACACGCATAGATGTACTATATACACCCACCTCTAACACGTGTGGTCTTAGACCAGGTACAAGGCCACAGCCACACAAACCCTGCCGGATTTCTTCCTGCTGTGTCATCTAGAGAAACATATGTACAAGCCCAATCTCAATGTCTGTGGGACCACAGCTTCTGCACATTCTCGGGGACAAAACTTCCTGCTAACAGAACTTCTGTCCATCAAGTAGCTGCTGCTCTGGCTGGCTCTGAGCTCTGAGCAATCTGACGACAGATCGCTCTTCTTTCAGACACAGACAGCGCATCCTTGGAGCTTCTAACTCATAGCCAGCAACCTGGGGGTCCACCTTCAGCATCTGAGGGCCCCTACACTCACTGATTGCTTCCAAGGGCATAAAACAAAGGTCATGGGGGACTGGGCCTGAGCAACACTCTCTCTGGGCAATGTATGTGTCTATCCAGAGTTGGATGACCTCTACAGACCAGGCAACGCTAATTCCCCTAGGCCCAGCCATTAGGATGGCTTCCCAGAGCATCAGGCCATTGGCTTGCAACCCCCAGCTGGTCACCAAAAGTGATAGTGAGCCTGCAAACAGGCATATCGTCCTGGGAGAGAATGTAGCAATGACTTCCAAAATTACAAATGTATAATTTGTATGCCTTATTTATATATAACAGTTCTGTTCACAGACAAAACCCATTTACACAGGTATGAAAGGACAGGGGTAGTAATTACACACTGTGACATGAGAGGGAGATAAAATGTTGAGGATGAGGAAGGAGGCAGAGTAGTTGGACAGGGCTCTGCCAGCCCCAGGCCTCTGAGACCAGGGGTCTGGCACATTTATTCTCACAATATTTGGTTCCTAGACTAATCGTTTGCCACACACAGTTATGCTCTTATGACTGGGGGCTCTTGGTCTTTTTCAGAAATACAATCATTTTTGCATATTTTTCTCAAACAACAAGGTCAGTTATTCACTAAAGTAGTGACAGCCCTTGAGTATGTCTGGGACAGATCTCTTTCCCCAACCTACTCTTATGTCCTGAAAAAAAAAAAAAAAAAAAAGAAAGAAAGAAAAAAAGTTGCCAAATGGCATGTATTTGTCTTACAGATTGCTTGTCGAGAATCTTATGACACCCCTTTGCGATAACTGGCAGCACTTTGGGGTGTTGCAAAACACGACTTGGGTGCAATCACCCTGATGATCATCAACAAGCCAAATGCAGCCTACACCACCCTGGCACGCCTGGGGCAGGGGTAGGGGCAGCAGAGGGGAGCTACAAAGCCCGAATGGGTTACTCCATGGGACAGAGAAGGCAAGTATTGACTTGAGAGCCCCTGACAGTCCCCACTCATGGAGAAGTGAGCTGCTGGGTCCCTGGGAGCCAGCTGGTCTTTTTTCCTCAGGGATAATTTTAGGTTCTCTCTTCCCCTCCCAACCCCTGTTTCAGCCTCCCAGAGGGATTGCCTAGACGAGTGACTATACAGTGTGCTTTTGAAATATAGAGCTGTTCAAAAGAACATGGCATGGGGTTGCCCTGGAGGCATTTTCCACTATTCTTTTTTCTCTATTGTCCCATTGTTTCAGGGGAGGAAATAAGGCAGCTCAAGGGTCAGTGTTGATGGGGTATCCTCAACTCTGGGATTCTGTGGGCAGACCATCACGCCAGCCTTCTTTATTCGTAGGTCCTGAAAATCCTCGAACTCGGGTCCTTCTGCGTGCAAGGCAAGCACTTCAGTGATTTAGCCATCTCCCTAACCCCCTGAGGCTTATTTCTAAGACTTTCATCCCCACACCCAGAACTGTTTACTGGTACTGGAGGGCAGGGTGAGGCTCTAAAAGACTGGGTGAGGGGAGGAAGCTCAAAGGGGCTGGTGTTCAGGAAAGGAAAAGTACTGTATAAGAGACTTTAGAGGCATTAAAGTACCAGGCCTTTCCCTCTACACACTCCAGAAATGCAGTGTGGGGGCCTAGGGAGACAGTTCAGTAGGTGAGAGTGTTTGTTCTGCAAGCGTAAGAAACTGAGTTTGACTCTCTAGCACCCAAGTAAAGAATTGGGTGTGGCTCCACAGGTCCATAACCCAGCCTTGGGAAGCAGAGGCAGGTGTATCTCAAGAGCTGAGAAGCAGCCATCCTAGACAAAACAAAAGCTTTCTGGCTGAGTGGGAAACCCTGCGTCAAGGTAATAAAGGGGAAAATAATGGAGAGAGACGCCTAATGTACCTATTCACATGCAGTGTGAGTTCCCCAATTCTAGTTTCTTATGTATAAAATCTCCAAGAAGTTGATGAAAACAAGTGACAAAAAAAAAAAAAAAAAAAAAAAAAAAACACTGTTTTTTCTTTTCTTTTCTCTTCTTTTGGAAAACCTAAAACTGAAGGTTTTTTAGCATTCCTAATGTTGCCACCCTTTAATACAGTTCCTCATGTTGTGGTGACCCCCAGCCATAAAATTCTTTTCATTGCTACTTCATAACTGTCATTTTGCTGCTGTTATGAATCGTAATGTAACTATCTGATTTATTGCCACTGTGGTGGTCACAACCCACAGGTTGAGAACCGCTCTGCTTGACAAACTGTAGCCTCAAACCCAGTCTGTCTTTCTTTACTTAATACTTATTTTTCTCTCTCTTTCAGTGCTGGGCCTCCAGAATGCCAAGTAAGCACTCTATTACTGAGCTACATTCTCAGCCCCCATTCGCTGTTTTGTTATTTTGTTTGTTGGTTGGTTGGTTGGTTGGTTGGTTGGTTGGTTGGTTTTTTGTTTTTTGGTGTTTTGGTTTTTGTTGTGTTTTGTTTTTGTTTTTGAGACAGGGTTTTTCTGTGTAGCCTTAGTTGTCCTGGACAATTTGTAGACCAGGCTGGGTTGAACTCACAGAGATTTGCCTGCCTCTGCCTCCCAGAGTGCTGGGATTACAGGAGTGAGCCTCCACACCCCAGCTCCATTCTCTGTTTTTAATGCTTCATTATTACTTCAGAATTTGGAGGGGTTTTTTCCCCCCCTAGAAATCTTCTAGGAAAAATATTTATAGATGGGGCACTGTAGGAGAAGGGTGGAAATTAGAAGCCCTTAGCATCACAACCTAGGGGATGCCAAGTGAAATGAGAATGATTCCTGAAACAAGCTGATGTCTCCAATAACTGAAAAGAAGAAAACTTTCAAAAAGTAGACAAGAAGAGAGAGTAGGTAAAACTGAAGGAAGGGAAAGGGGACAGATCTCATCAGCTCAGAGAGAAAATTACACTAGTCCACCTGCTATGGCTTCAGGTAAAGGGCCTTAGAGTTCGGAGTGGTGGTACACAGGCCTGTAATCCCAGTACTGGGGAGGTTGAGGCAGAAAAATCGGAGGTCCTAACCATTCTAATCAACATATACAGAGCCTATCTCACACAGTAAGCTACCTACCGTAGGGAGGGCATCCAAGTATCCAAGTAGGAGAGGGGATACCTTAGTATTTATTTGTTTGTTTGTTTATCACGCCGGGAGGGTCACCTTCCTTGTTGGGTAAGGGGTAGGGTGGGAGGTTCTCCCTTTCTTTGTAGGGTTGCTACAGGTTCTGCCAGGAAGTCGCTGCTGAGCTCCAGGAAACCCCGGTGCTAGGGGAGTGCCAAGGCAGGCCGTTCCTCTCCACCCTCCAATTCCCACCAGAGGCTTCTCTCCTGACTATTGGACGCTGCTCCTTTAAAAGCAGCCACTCCTCCCAGCATCTAGGGTGAGATGGAGGGAAGCTGACAGACGTCTCCCAGCAACTAGGGAAGATGGCCCAGGGTGGAGGAGTTGTTCCCAAGTCCTACTGCCCCCTTCCCTGAGTCAGGGGGGACTGGGGGAATCTTCCCACCCCAAGCGCGACACGAGATGGCTCCGTGGCCTCACAAGAACGGCTCTCTGGCTTTGTGGTCAGATGTCCCCACCTTGGACCCCAGTGCAGCCAACGCTGCGAGTGGGTTCCCAGGGGTGCCCTGGGCAGCGGCATTGGTTGGGGCGTTGCTGGCGCTGGCCACAGTGGGAGGCAACCTGTTGGTAATCATAGCCATCGCCCGCACGCCGAGACTCCAGATCATAACCAACGTGTTCGTGACTTCGCTGGCCACAGCTGACCTGGTAGTGGGCCTCCTGGTAATGCCACCAGGAGCCACGCTGGCGCTGACTGGTCACTGGCCCTTGGGCGCAACTGGCTGCGAGCTGTGGACTTCAGTGGATGTGCTCTGCGTAACCGCCAGCATCGAGACCCTGTGCGCCCTGGCTGTGGACCGCTACCTGGCTGTCACCAACCCTCTGCGTTATGGCTCGCTGGTTACCAAGCGCCGCGCCCGGGCGGCCGTGGTCCTGGTGTGGATCGTGTCCGCCGCCGTGTCCTTTGCACCCATCATGAGCCAGTGGTGGCGGGTAGGGGCGGACGCCGAGGCACAGGAGTGCCACTCCAACCCGCGCTGCTGTTCCTTCGCCTCCAACATGCCCTACGCGCTGCTCTCCTCCTCCGTCTCCTTCTACCTTCCGCTCCTTGTGATGCTCTTCGTCTATGCCCGAGTGTTCGTGGTGGCTAAGCGCCAACGGCGTTTGCTGCGCCGGGAGCTGGGCCGCTTCCCACCCGAGGAGTCTCCACGGCCTCCGTCGCGCTCTCCGTCCCCTGTCGCGGGCGGGACAGGCGAGGCCCCGGATGGAGTGCCCTCCTGCGGCCGGCGGCCGGCGCGCCTCCTGCCGCTCCGGGAACACCGCGCCCTACGCACCTTAGGTCTCATTATGGGCATCTTCTCTCTGTGCTGGCTGCCCTTCTTCCTGGCCAACGTGCTGCGCGCTCTCGCGGGGCCCTCTATAGTTCCCAACGGGGTTTTTATCGCCCTGAACTGGCTGGGCTATGCCAACTCCGCTTTCAACCCTCTCATCTACTGCCGCAGCCCGGACTTTCGCGACGCCTTCCGGCGTCTTTTGTGCAGCTGCGGTGGCCGCGGGCGGGAGGAGCCGCGCGCTGTCACCTTCCCAGCCAGCCCCGCCGAGTCCAGGCAGAGCCCTCCGCTCAACAGGTAGGGGACACAGGCAGGGGACCCGGGGAGGGGGCGTTCCGGGTGGAGACTCCTTGTGTCTCTACTTTTGAGGCTGGTGTTGGCGGAGGGCAGGTATAGACAAAGTCTTTGCCTTGAGAGGGCAGAAACGAAGCAGGAACTAAAATGGGATCTAGGGCCCTTCCTTTTGGGGGGACCAATCTCTAGGACCAGATGAGACCCACAAGTAACTGCTGCTCCGCTAGCAGGTCTCTGACCTCCCTGGCTGGCTCTAAGTCTAGGTTTTCTAGGTCCGTTCTTCAGGCGCCCAGGTTCTAGCCATCTCAACACCTGGCTGGGACATCCTTAGTAATGGACGTTCCAATCCCTCAGCCTCAGTTCCACTTTTTCCCCAAAGGTTTGGTGGCTACGAAGGTGAGCGTCCGTTTCCCACATGAAGGACCATGAAGATCAAGCAAGGAACCTGTGAGTTGGACTTTGAGCTGCACCCCTCTCTCAGGGACAGTATTGGAGCTCTAGACTGGGATTTGGGGTCTGGGTGTTGGATGGTCGCTATACTTTGAAAAGTAAATATGCTTTTCAGGGTTCCCGAGTCACTGGCCCCTCCCCTCCAGTGATAGGTACACCCTCCCCCCACCCCTTGACTGGTTACTCCCAAGAAATGTTCTTTCCGTTTTGCAGGATTTCTGGGGATATTTTTTTTTTTAAGCCAGAAAAGCAAGAAATGACTCCACGGATGCAGAATTTCTGTAAAAGCCCTGATTTCTGCTCAGAGTGAATCCCGGAAACCTCAGCTCTCCAGAGATTGCTGACTAGACCAGATGTGAAAGGGAACTCTTACCAAATGGGTTTCACCATCCTCTCTTTCCGAGAGAGGGTGTCCAAGACCCACCTCGAACTTCATCACTACCTCAGCCTCTGGGGTGTCAGGCCACCTGTGCCTGGCAGCCCCGGGAGCAGCCTGATGGCCTTGGAGGGGTTCCCATCACCCTGCTCGTGTATGTGCTGTGTGCATAGGACAAAGAAAGAACTCTACCTACCTCCCCCCCACTCCTGCTTTCCTGACCCCGATGTGATTCTCCAGGCTCTGTGTCTCTGGTTAGTTTGAGGGCAAGAAGCCAGGAAAAAAACAACAAAGTTTGAGGTTCTGTCCCTGGCTCCTCACTATGACTCTCCAAGCACCACCTCTCACATTAGGCACAAAGCAGCTCTGATCTACCTCACAGTCAGGACATCAAGATTTGGGGGGAAATCCAGGGTTCATAGGAAGGTGAACCATTGGGATGAGTCCCTTTTCCTTTTAAAATCAAATGAATAAATCTTACAGAATTCAGTTTGTCCCTTGCTCTCTTTTCTCTCGGTTTGTTTTCTTTTCATAATCCACTTGCTGGCTTCCCTGCTTGGAGCTGCCTTCTGACAAGGGCAGTAAATTAGGAGTAATCCTTGCTCCTTTCTTCCTAATCCTCATCAGAAAAACAAAACAAAACAAAACAAAACAAAAACTGAAAAGTCTGTCTGGGTAAATGGGACTGTCCAGTCTTTGATTCTCCTTCCTCCTCACCCTTTCTGAAGCTTCTGGGATCTAGTTGCAAGAAGGGGCATATCCATGCATTGCTCCCCATCTGTCTTACTAAAGGATGCAACTTTCTGTCTCCAGGATCAAGAATCTCTCACAACACAAACTAGTGTAGGTTGATAAGGTCTCGTTGACGTCAGCAAACACTTTGCTTCTGTGTTCTGTGTATCTCGACATACAGGGCACTGGTTTGTGTTATATTTGGAGATGGATGTATCCAGCATAAGCATGCACACACATGTGCATGCTTCTGTACCTTCTGTCTTCCCACTGCCTTCCTGACTTGCAGAAATATTCATTATCCTCTAGAAGCAAAACTGGAGTCACAAACTGTCTGTTGCTACTATCCCCCCCCCCCCATTTCAGTTTTTAAAATTCTTATCTGACGTGTTTCTCATGGGGGAAAGGGTTCTATGGGACTGACCGGAGTGTTGTGCAGGCTCTTCTTATATTTATGGTTGTGAGCCTAGCCTTTAACAGCTGAGACAGCTGAGCCATCTCTCCAGCCCAATGCAGGCTCTTCTTTAACTCCATGAGCAAAGACCTTGACCAGGCTGATTTCTAGGATAGCCAGTTAATCACCAAATGTTTAGCATGCCTGTGGCATAGCATGAAGGGCATCTGCTGTGTTTGGGGGTCCTGGAGATATAAAACCTCACATTATCCACAGGATAAACTACATTCATTTCCACATATGGGTGTTCCCTGTGAACTGGACCTAGTCTATACAGCTCCCTTTTGTCCTGGAGCTTAGGTTTTATTTCTCAGGGTGTTTGCATACCAAAGATGACTTTCTCCTTTCCAACTCAATGCAGTGTGCTCTCTGTGGTGTCTGAATGTAGACAGTTTCTTGGCAGAGATTCTGCTTTTGAACTATGGCCCTTAGCAAGGAAGGAAGTCTTGGTTGAGCCTCATCTCTGGATATTTTCCCAACATTTCTGAGGAAAGTTGCCCAAGCAAGGGAGAGGATGATTTTTTGGAAGAGGGGCCTTTGGTTTATAGAATTGTCCTTGAAGAGTGTCCAAGAACGCATACTGATTGGCCCTTGCTGGACACATACCCATGTGCCAACTGTCAGCTTCCTTTGAAGTGTTTAGACTTTATTGGGCTGTGGATTCCACCTGCAGATTGTCACCAGTGGATCTGACAGCCTTAGAGACAGCCTTTCGAGTCCTTTCTCCAGCCAGGTGTCAAGCTGAAAGAGATTTACATCCTTGAATGGGATGCAAACTGGGGAAGACAAACAGCCATGCTATGAAGCTAAAGATGTGAAGACTTCCAGACCAGTGAGAATTTGAGTGTTCTAGAAGCCCTGTCCTCCGGGAGTGTGGGAGTAAGAGAGTGTGGGGCAGAAATGACAAAGAAAGTGGGGTTAACCTCAGTGTGAAACTGCAAAGGAGCAAGCTGAATTAGAGAAAGGAGGATGTTGGGAATAAGTTTTTGGGGAACTCTTTCCGTGGTAGACTCTTCTAGCTGGTGATGGGTAAAAGTGTAGGCTATGGGCCTCATAGGCAGTTACTAGACTAATTCCATACTGACTTCATTCCTCAAATTTGTGGAGTAGAGACAGCTCCCCTGTTGTAAAGAATGACAATCCCAGTCAATCAATTTTACCAATAAAGATTCAGGAGCCAGATATTGGGGTGGAAACCTACTAGCTCAGAGAGGCAGAGAAAGCACTCAACAGATCTTCCTACTCAGCTGACATCCCAGAAGAAAAAGCCTTTCTACTCAGCTCATGTCCCACAAGGAAAAAGCCAAAAGCCCTTTCTTCTTCTCTGCGCTGTCTTAAGTACCCTTCTCTCCATGTCCCTCCTTCCTGTTTACTCCCTGACAGCTGGTTGCTTGCTACTCCTTTTGACCTAGGGTTAACGTTATTTAATCTTGTTGGTACAAAAGGCTCCTGGATTAAAGGTGTGCCCTAGGGCTGAGGCACACCATAATCACCTGTCTACAATAGAAAGTTCTTGGATTAAAGGAGCGAGTGGTAGGGCTGAGCCACACCAAACAAGAAACCTTTTTTTTTTTTTTTTTTTTTACAGTTCACAATCTCAGGGTTCACAATGGGGTCAAATATCTTGTGATACTCCTACATCCACCCATGCCGAAGAAAGTAAATCCATTTGAGGGGTATCTGGAATTTGAGGGTGTCTGGAATCATTTTTCTGAGGGTCTAGCTCTGTAGCCCACCTCGATGTTCTGCTATTCTGGAAGCCATCGTCTTCCGGTCCCAACCACCTTAGTCCGGGGACTAGAGGTGAGCACCACCCGAACCTTAGTCTTGTTGCACCGACATTAGAAAAGTTAGGTGCCACCTGGTGGCAATATGCGATACAATCAGAGTGGAATGTTGGGCTGTCTAGTTAACAGCTTTTGCAGCTGATTTAACTACAACTAGGCGCGGTGACACACACCTGTAATCTCAGCACTTCCAGGCCAGACTTCCAGGCCAGACTTGATCACACTGCAAGAAATCATCTCAAAAAAAGAAAAGAAAGAATTTAGCTCATTACTTTGATAAAAATGGGTAAAGAACCTGAGTTCAAGTACTGGGAATGTACTGCTGCTACTAAAGGGCTCTTCTAGCTTGTGTGACCCCCCCAGGTTCGATTCCCAGCACCACAAAAACTGTAAATGATGATATGCGTCGGTAGTCGGTAATCCCAGCACCGAGGAGGTGTGTGCAAGAGGATCAGGAGTTAAAAGTCATCTTCTGATACATGTAACTTGGAGACCAGCCTAGGATACATAAAATTCTACCTCAAAAAATGTACATATGTGTGTATACTATATGTATATATATATATGTGTGTGTGTGTGTGTGTGTGTGTGTGTGCTATATGCATTATATATACATATATATGTAAACATATATATATGAGGGTTGAGTTGGGTAGCCAAAAATTTCTTCAGTCAAACAAGTTTCAGAGCCAGAAAAAAAAAAAAAAAGCAGTAAAGGTGCACCCCAAAGGAATCAAATAGTTGCTGGGGCTGTTCCTGCTCTAAGTTTGTTCTTTCTCTCTCTGTGTCTCTCTCTTTCTCTCAATCGGCCATTTTTAAAATGCTTATGTGTTAGGGGGTTTTAAATGTTTTCATTCTTTGGAAATACCACCCATGTATATGAAGCATCTCTTCCCTTTCCCTCTCCCACTGCCTTCTCATCCCCCTTCCCATTCCGACTGAGCACCCTTCTCTTCAACAATTCTCCCTTCTACTTTTATTTCTTTTGTTCTTTGTTTGTTGGATTTGGGGAGGGGGGGAGTTGTGACTCCAGAATTTAAATGATTTTCTTGAATGAGCATGAGTTGGAGATTATTTACATGAGCAAATTATCAGTGCCTACATCACTGAAGAAAATCACCTTTCCTCCCTGGGCAATAGTAATTGCTACTCCTTCTGCAGAGGGTGGAACCTCATGAGCACCTCCACTCTCCATGAAGGAATCCTCTTTAAATTTTTGTCTATTTGTATATTATGATTTAATTACAACATCTCTTCTTTCCTTTTCTCCCTCCAAATCTTTTCATATACTCCAAATCCCACATACTCCTCCCCACCCTTCTTCAAATTCATGGCCTGTTTTTTCACTGTTATGGCGTGTATATGTGTACGTACATATATATATTCCTAAGTGATTCTTGTTTGGTCTGTAGAATGTTACTTATAGGTATGTTTTTAGGGCTGACTGTTTGGCGATGGACAACCAACTGGTGTGCTCTTCCCTAGAGACGGCCACTTCTCTGAGTCCCAGCTTTCCTCGGTTGCCTATAGATTTTCATGTAGGGTTAAGACCTACATAAAAATGGACAGGCTTTCCCTGTCCAGTTTTAAATGTTCACTGGTGCCATCTTGTTCTGCTCAGAGATTCTTATGGAGA